TGGCAGGCGCAGTACACAGAGCCTCCAGGAGGAGCTGCGGCGCGCGTGGCCGCCGCTGGGCCGCGGCTGCCTTTCGCTGGGCCGCGGCTGCCTTTCGTGTGGCAGGCGCAGTACGCAGAGCCTCCAAGAGGAGTTGCAGCGCGCGTGGCCGCCGCTGGGCCGCGGCTGCCTTTCGTGTGGCAGGCGCAGTACACAGAGCCTCCTGGAGGAGCTGCGGCGCGCGTGGCCGGCGGTGGGCGCGTGGTCGCCGCTGGGCCGCGGCTACCTTTCGCGTGGCAGGCGCAGTACATAGAGCCTCCATGCAGGAGGACTTACGGCGCTCGTGGCCGCCGCTGGGCCGCGGCTGCCTTTCGTGTGGCAGGCGCGGTACACAGAGCCTCCTGGACGAGCTGCAGGACGCAGAGCCTCCTGGACGAGCTGCGGCGCGCGTGGCCGCTGCTGGGCCGCGGCTACCTTTCGCGTGGCAGGCGCAGTACGCAGAGCCTCCACATCATCTTTGACACACTATCTTTCTCACACAAATTTGTCTCACACCATCTTTCAGACACCATCCTCGACACACCAACTTTGACACACCATCTTTCACACCACTTTGTTCCACACCATCTTTCACACACAACTTTGTCACACACCATCTTGCACAAACCACTTTGTCACACACTATCCTTCACACACCCCTTTGTCACACACCATCTGTCACATTTTCTCACACTATCTTTCACACACCACTTTGTCACACACCATCTCTCACACACCATCAACACCATCTTTCACACACAATTTTGCCACACACCATCTTTCACACACCACTTTGTCACACACCATCTTTCACACACAACTTTGTCACACACCATCTTTCACACACCATCTGTGACACACCATCTTTGTCACCACTTTGTCACACACCATTAACACCATCAACACCATCTTTCACACACCATCTTTGACACACCATCTTTCACAGACAACTTTGTCACACACTATTTTTCACGCACCATCTTTCACACACACCTTTGTCACACACCATCTTCGACGCCACATTTTTGACACACACCATCTTTCACACACCGTCACAGACCATTTTTCACACACCATCTTTCACACACAACTTTATCCCATACCATCTTTGACACACCATCTTTCACACACAACTTTGTCACACCATCTTTCACCACACCATCTTTGTCACACACCATCTTTCACGCAGACAACTTTGTCACACACCATCTTTCCTCCACCTCTTCCTTTGTCTTTCCTTCCTTCCCCGTCCCCGCAACAACATTTCTTGCTCATTATTGGAAGAAGTTGACTTGTGGGGTTATCCGGTCCTTTTATAACTTAATATTAGGAGCGAGCTTCTCCCCTGAACATTTAGTACCGACTAATAATAAAAACTACCCGGTACTACCCCTAGGTTTTATTATTTGTAGGGGGGAACGTTTAGTATTAGGGTGAAGGGATTAACATCACGTGGTATCCTTTTCAATTGGACCTGCGAGCTCCAACCGCAATTAGGAAGCTGAATGCTAAGCGAAATAAATTCTGAAGCTGTGTCAAATTCTTCATTGTTCAGCTCAATATACGATATCCGCCGCCCCCTGCTGTAGCCGGGGAGCGCGTGAGAGAAGCAACTTTTGTCAAGCAACTGGAAAAGACATGTTGGGTTTGAAGCTAAGTCCTAGGCAGTTCCGAAGGCTGCAGGCCCGATCCGTCCTTCACTGCGATGGTGTTTTGGTGGTGCGGCAGCGTCCTTGGACCTGAGCTGTGCCAGACGAAAGCCACCTGCAAGACGCAGCAAGCAATTTGGAAGCTGGCAGTGCAGAACGGCAGGTAAAAGCCAGGTTTGCACCTAGTTTCTAGGCGTTCAGAAAGCGACGTTTGGCACTCTGGGCTGCCGGCCGCGGGCCCCGATCCGTCCTTCACTGCCATTGTGTTTTGGTGCTGCGGCAGCGTCCTTGGACCCGAGGTGTGTCAGACGAAAGCCACCTGCAAGACGCAGCAAGCAATTTGGAAGCTGGCAGTGCAGAACGGCAGGTAAAGGCTAGGTTTGTAGCTGGTTTCTAAGCGTTCAGAAAGCGACGTTTGGCATTTTGGGCTGCCAGCCGCGGGCCCGATCCGTCCTTCACTGCCATGGTGTTTTGGTGCTGCGGCAGCGTCCTTGGACCCGAGGTGTCCCTGACGAAAGCCGCCTGCAAGACGGAAGCTGGCAATGCAGAACGACAGGTAAAGGCCAGGCCAGGTTTGCAGCTAGTTTCTAGGCGTTCAGAAAGCGACGTTTGGCACTCTGGGCTGCCGGCCGCCGGCCCGATCCGTCCTTCACTGCGATGGTGTTTTGGTGGTGCGGAAGCGTCCTTGGACCCGAGGTGTGCCAGACGAACGCCACCTGCAAGATGAGCAAACAATTTGGAAGCTGGCAGTCTAGAACGGCATAGTTTCTAGGCGTTCAGAAAGCGACGTTTGGCACTGTGGGCTGCCGGCCGCGGGCTCGATCCGTTCACTACCATGGTGTTTTGGTGCTGCGGCAGCGTCCTTGGACCTGAGGTGTGCCAGACGAAAGCCACCTGCAAGACGCAGCAAGCAATTTGGAAGCTGGCAGTGCAGAACGACAGGTAAAATCCAGGTTTGTAGCTAGCTTCTAGGCATGCAACGTTTGGCACTCTGGGCTGCCGGCCGCGGGCCCGATCCGTCCTTCACTGCCATGGTGTTTTGGTGCTGCGGCAGCGTCCTTGGACCTGAGCTGTGCCAGACGAAAGCCACCTGCAAGACGCAGCAAGCAATTTGGAAGCTGGCAGTGCAGAACGGCAGGTAAAGGCTAGGTTTGCAGCTAGTTTCTAGGCGGTCAGAAAGCGACGTTTGGCACTCTGGGCTGCCGGCCGCCGGCCTGATCCGTCCTTCACTGCCATGGTGTTTTGGTGCAGACGAAAGCCACCTGCAAGAGGCAGCAAGCAATTTGGAAGCTGGCAGTGCAGAACGACAAGTAAAGGCCAGGTTCGCAGCTAGTTTCTGGGTTTGGCACCCTGGGCTGCCGCCCGCGGGCCCGATCCGTCCTTCACTGCCATGGTGTTTTGGTGCTGCGGCAGCGTCCTTGGACCCGAGGTGTGCCAGACGAAAGCCACCTGCAAGATGCAGCAAGCAATTTGGAAGCTGGCAGTGCAGAACGGAAGGTAAAGGCCAGGTTTGCAGCTAGTTTCTAGGCGTTCAGAAAGCAACGTTTGGCACTCTGGGCTGCCGGCCGCGGGCCCGATCCGCCCTTCGCTGCCATGGTGTTTTAGTGCTGCGGCAGCGTCCTTGGACCTGAGCTGTGAAAGCCACCTGCAGATCATCAAGCAATTTGGAAGCTGGCAGTGCAGGATGGCAGGTAAAGGCCAGGTTTGCGGCTAGTTTCTATAGGCGTTCAGAAAGCAACGTTTGGCACTCTGGGCTGCCGGCCCCGGGCCCGATCCGTCCGTCAAGTCCTCGTAAGTATACATATGATCCAAGGACATAAGTCCTGGTAAGTATGCATATACATTAGTCCTGGTAAGTATACATATGATCCAAGGACACAGGTCCTAACATGAAACGCTTCGCCCATGTGCAGCCCTTTTATCCGGCCAGGGGCCCTCCGGGCCCGGAGCTGGCCGTGGCATTGCCGTAGGCCTTCTCTCCTCTCCGAAGGAGAGAGGGGCTGCCGCCCCTGCCGCCGACCTTCCGCCGACCTACCGCCGACCTACCGCCGACCTATACCCCGTGTCGCCAAAAACCCCACATGGGCCAACACAGCAGGCCTCAAGATGGATCAACGTAGCCTCAAGATGGGGCAACATAGCCCCCAAGATGGGCCAACATAGCCCCAAGTTGGGCCAACATAGCCCCAAGATGGGCCCACATATCTTCTCCTCTTGCCCGCTTGCCCTCTTACCCTCTTGCCCTCTTTCCTCTTCCCCTCTTGACCTCTTGGTTGCTTGTCCTTTTGTCTTCTTATCCTCTTGCCCTGTTGTCCTATTGCGCTATTGTCCTCTTTCCTCTTGCTCTCTTGTCCTGTCTTCTTGTCTTCTTGTTCTCTTGTGCTTTGACCTCCCTCTTAATTTCTTGCCTTTTTCCTTTTGTCCTCTTGTCATTTTGTCTTCTTGCCCTCTTGCCCTCTTGTCCTCTTGCCCTCTTGCCCTAATGGTCTCTTACCCTTTTATGCTCTTGCCCTCTTACCCTCTTACCATCTTAACCTCTCGTCTTCTTGTCCTCTTGTCCTCTTATCCTTTCGTCCTCTCGACCTCTTGCCCTCTTGTCCTCTTGTCTTCTTGTCCTCCTGCCCTCTTGCCCTCTTGCCCTCTTGTTTTCTTTTCCTTTTCCCTCTTATCCTCTTACCATTTTGCCCTCTTGTCCTAATGCCCTCTTACCCTCTTGCTCTTTTAATCTCTTGTCCTCTTGTCCTTTTGTCCTCTTTCTTTTTGCCCTCTTATCCTCTTGCCCTCTTGTCCTCTTGTCTCTTGCCCTCTTGCCCTCCTGCCCTGTTTTTCTCTTGCCTTCTTAACCTCTTGCCCTCTTGCTCCTTGCCCTCAAGATAGGCCAACATAGCCCCAAGATGGGCCAACATAGCCCCAGGATAGGCCGCCGACCATCAAAATATCCTGCGTTTTACAGTGTTTTTTGCTCTTGCCATTTTTCGGATCTTTTGGCTCCACATGGGTCAACATGGGCCTCAAGATCGGCCGACATAGGCCTCAAGATCGGCCCACATAGCCTTCAAGATAGGCCAACATAGCCCCAAGCTGGGCCAAGATAGGCCAACATAGTTGGGCCCCTGGCCGGCTGTCGCGCGTAAGCGCTTAAATATTATAAATATATATATATATATATTATATATTTTTATATATAATATATTTATATATATATATTATATATATATACTATATATATATATAATGTTCATGATGTCTTCCCGTGATAAACAAACTTGGACTATCTGAAGGGCAACGTCCGTGCCAGCTGATGGCAACTCGTAGGGCCCGGTGCCCGCACGC